GAAATATTTTAATTTTGCAGTTGTTTGAGGTGTTGGATAACAGTCGGAGTAAAAAGATTAACCACAAAGCTTAAAAGGAAAAGCTGGGGAAGGAGATGGAGATGTCCATAGGAGCTTTGAAAAGCTCTGACTTATTCCTGAGAATCTAGGCCACCTACATACTCAAGGCTGTGTGTCAAGAACACCTCCAATGACCTTGGGGCTCTGAGCAAACAGGAAAGAAAGGCTAAGGTAGAATTTCCATCTGCCTGGGTGACTGTTGAAGATGTGCCCTAACAAGCATTCAGAGCTAATCAGCAAAGACTGAGAGGTTACTGGTTCCAATATTTAAGGAAATCTCTGTCCAAAGCTAGCTGAGTGAGACTTCAATGGCCATATACCAGAAAGAATACAGACTTTATAGAATTATTTTAGAAAAGTAATTAAATAAACATAGATCTTCTACAACAAGCAGTAACAACAAACCCCAGAGATGGAAGAGAATTGGATCTCCAGAGTTTCCACATTAAAATGTCCAGTTTTCAACAGAAAAATAAGATATGCAAGGAAACAAGAAAGTAACTCATAGACAGTAAGAAAAGGCAATAGTAGAAGCTGTCGCTGAGGAAGCCCAGACACTGGATTTATTAGACAAAGACATTAAATCTGCTTTTAAAAATAAGTTGAAAGAGCTAAAATAAACCACATCTAACTAGAGAATATCAAGAAAATGATAGAAATAAAAATTAAACAGAAATTCTGGAGTTGAAAAGTATAACTGAAATGAAAATTTCACCAGAGGGGCTCAGCAGATTTAAGCACGCAGAAGGACTTAGAAAACTTTACACAGACCAATTGAAATTGCTTGAGAAACAGAATGAAGAAAAATGAAGAGACGTGTGAGACACCATCAAGAATACCAACATGCACATATGGTGCTCCAGAAGGAAGGAGCAGAAATCAGAAAAAAAGTTTTAAAAATAGCCAAATCTTCCCAAATTTGATAAAAAATGTGAATCTGCATATCCAAGCAGCTAAATGAATTCTAAGTAGGTTAAACTCGGATCCACACCTAGATACATCATATGCAACTGTCAAAAAACAAAAGAATGTTGAAGTAAGAGAAGTGATTCATTGCCTACAAGGGAATCTCAGTAAGATTAACAGCTAATTTCCCATCAGAAACCATGGAGACCAGAAAGACATTTGATGACATATTCAAAGAAATGAAAGAAAAATAACCAAGAATGCTATATCCAGTAAAAACTATCCTTCAGAAGTGAAGGAGAAATTAAGTTAGTCCCAGGTAAAGGACAACTAAAGAGAATTTGTTGTTAGGACCTACCCTACAGGAAATACTAAACTTGTCCTTCGGGCTGAAATGAAAAAGACAATGGATTCAAAGACACAAAAGTGTCTCTGGACTCCCTGCTATGCCTGAGGGCACAGAAAGAGGAAGGGCAGCTTGGGCTCTGTGCCTGCGGTCAAGTCACTCTCCCATTGCTGAACTTGGGGGATCAGCAGTGCTCAGATCTCCCCCTTCAAGGCAATCTCATGAATACACACTTAGCAGGAGAAAAGTGGCTCTGAGTGGCATCATATTTTCCTTGTCCCCATGTCTTTGTGCCCTGCCCATCCTCTGACCTGGCCTGGCCTGTCTGGCCTCTAGGACCTTGCCACACTGCTAGAGCAGATCGGGTGTCTGAAGTACCTGCAGCTGTTTGAGGAGCAGGATGTGGACCTCCGCATCTTCCTGACGCTCACTGAGAGTGACCTGAAGGAAATCGGCATCACGTGAGTCCAGAGGGGCTGTCTGTGGCCGCATGCCCCTCGTTTCAGCCAAAGTTCTGGGACCAGCTGAGGTTGCAGCTTCCCAACACTCGGATGGAAACAGCCGCCCTGTCTAGAGGTTGGCTTTTTTCCTGTAGTTGTCTGTACTCTCCATTCCTACAGTCGCTCGTGTGGCCCCCAAGCTGGCCCAGCTGACAGCGCTGCATTCAGGACACCTAGGCATTTTCTGCCTGTTCACTTTTGAGAGCTTCCCTAGTTGGCAGACAGTTGTCCATAGCCTGAAGCCCAGCGACCTCGGGCTGGGGAGGGGGCCAGGCAGGGGGAGGACAACTTCCAGTGGGGTTGTCACTTCTTACACAACCTCTGCCACAGGATGCTGGAGCCACTCTCCCACTTCAAAGATGGGATCTTTCCTGGGGGGTTACCATCTTGATGGAAGGACAGTCAGTGGAGCCTCCACACACAGCTGGTGCTGATCTGATTCCTCTCATTCCCCCTGCAGGTTGTTTGGGCCCAAGAGGAAGATGACCTCTGCCATTGCCCGCTGGCACAGTAGTGCCCGCCCCCCCAGTGACGCCCTGGAGCTGGCCTATGCCGACCGGCTGGAAGCAGAGATGCAGGAGCTCGCCATCCAGCTCCACAAAGTAAATGGGGAGAGCAGGGAGGGGATGTGCAGAAATGGCGAGAGAGGCTTCTGGAGACAGACCTGCAGAGGACACAGCGGTCAATACAACAGTGAGGGCAGAAAGCATAACAGCTCTTACCCTGAAGGGGAGACGCACTGGCAGGCACACAAAGCTAGGCGACATTAGGTGCAAGGTCAGATGGACACAGGCAAGAAGATACAGGGTAAGGGCAGAGAACAGGTGGCCAGTGTGGACATCAGATGGCTCAGAGGAAGGGACCCAGAGCAGGGGAGGCTCCAAGGTAGAAACAGCCTTCTCTCCCATTCTAGGAGTCAGGATGGCAGAGACAGAGGGTGTGGTGGGTCCTGGCCTCGTGTCCCCTGCACCACCCTTCCCCATGCCCACTTGCCCGCCTGCCCACCCCACCTCTCCCTTTCCCACTGCAGCGCTGTGAGGAGGTGGAGGCCATGCGGGGCCAGGTGTCCCAGGAGCAGGAGCTGCGGGCCGTGGTGGAGAGCTGCCTCTTGGAGCAGGATGGCACCCGCAAGGATGTCCTTGCCCAGCTGCAGGAGACCTGGGCCTTGGCCCAGGATGCTGCTCTTGTCTTGGACCAGCTGCGGTGAGTGGGCGGGCACCTGAGCTGGCCTGGGCTAGGCCCTGAGTTTTCTTCAGCTTCTTCAACCAAGGACTTGCTTTCAGGGCCTCCTAGGGTCACTCCCTCCCCATCCCCATTTCATTCTGGCTGTTCCTTCCTACAGAGCTGACCAGGTAGCAATGAGACCCTGAAAATCTGCAGACTCTATGCAGATTCTCTGCCCAGGTCTCGGGTTGAGAGCTTATCAGTACGGGTGCTGTGCTGGGGTGCTTGCCAAGCTCAGGCAAGCTGTGTAGACAGGGAGTTGGGGGTGCCTGCCGTCCCTGCCCTCTGGGAGCTGTAAAAAGCAGTCGTCAGGCCTCTCCCCTCACCAGCACTTGGTCTTGTGTCCGGCAGAGCTTGTCAGGCCGAGCTGTCAGCCCGAGTGAGGCGGGACGAGTTTCCTCTCGGGACTACCCTGGGCCCAGCCCTCTCCACAGCTGGTAAGGAGAGTGGGGTCCTGGCCGCAGACTGGGCAGGCAGAGGGCAGGGATGCCCCTTCAGGCTGGGTTTTGTCACTTGTCTTAGCATGGTTATGACACAGGTTCCCTTGCACACATCCCAGCCCGTTTCCTCACCGTCCCTCCTGATGGCAGGAGGCAAAGCCCTTGGGCCATGGCTGACAGTGCTGTCCAAGAGCTCAAGTGACTTCTGCAGCCTCCACCTGGAGCCCAGGCTGGGGCCACCCCAGGGCAGAGCCTCACTGGAGGCCAGGGACAACAAGCAGCAGAACACATTTTGATGTGATGAGGGAGTCATGCAAGCACTAACCAGGGTGGGACTCCTGGTCACAGTAGCTCAGGACAAAGATGGGCCTATAAGGACACAGACCCCAGGCTCACTCAGCCCTCTGTCCCACAGACTCCAAAGGCTGGCAGGCCTCCCTGCAGGCCCTGAGCCTCCCCGAGCTATCAGGAGTGTTGGAGAATCGAGTCCAAGAGATGGGTGAGTCTCTGGAAGGGAAGCCAGCGGCCCTCACCCCCACCAAGGGACCAGACCTGGGGTAACACGGAGACCCCTCTCAGCTCTGACTCCTGGGGCAGCCTGCTGACCCTCCAGGTCATCCTTTCCTAGTGCTCCCCAGGACATTGCTTCTTCCCACCACCACCCAGGCTTGCGAGCAGTCACTTGTCTGCTTTCATCCTCAGAGCGAGTGCTGTGCTCAGTGTCCCAGGGCCTGGAGAAGCTGCAGTCACTGAATGGGAAAGAGAACTGGCGGGAGCCTTAGCAGGAGGCAGTGGTGAGTGTCAGCCAGCCCAGGACCCAGGCCAGGACAGCAGGGTCCATTGCGAGCCAAGTGAATGCCCACCTCAGTCCTCCCTTTCCCTTCTTAGAATCTGACGTTGGGTGACTGATCCACCCTGAAGCTGTGTGCCCGGAAGACAGGAGGGCAGTGAGCAGGCAGCTACAGCAGCCTAGGCCCCAGCTGGGGCCAGAGGATCGGCCCCCGGGAACAGCTGGCAGAGAAGCAGGACCGGGCTGTGGCCGGTGCCAGGCAGCGAGGCCCCCACAGAGGCAGGACGAGGGCCTCTCACCCAGAACCTGGTGGTAAGGCCCAGAGCAGACAGGGCCTTGGGGAGAGCATGTCCCTATACACCGCAGGCGCCACACTCAGGCTTGCCCGGCTGGGTAAGGTCTGGGACGCCTGGGCAGCATATGTCATTTGCTGAAAAATAAAATTTAAGATCATCTGGTGAGGGGCTCAGTTCTGGTCACAGCACACACATTACTGGCTGACATAGCAAAGCAAGAGAAAAGCCACACCAAGACCTCCAACCCCAGTGACTCACTGAAGCCCAAGCCCCTGCTGCCAGGACAGAGAACACTGCTCATAGTGGGGCTGACTTGGTGACCCCTCTTACCCCACTGGCCCCTGCAGCTAGAGCCACCTTTGCTCAGAGCCCCCATGATTCAATAAAAGCTACCTGGAGAGCTAAGCATGCCCCATGCCCCAGGAAATAAGAGAGGAGCAAGGTACAGGTATTTTATTTACAGAGTGAAGTGCCTTTGCCCAGTGTGGCTGCTTCATCAAGGCTCTAAGGTAGAACAGATGCCAGGCTGGGCCGGGAGTAGTTTTCCTTACCAGGCCGGGCAGGCACCGTGGAAACTTTCCAGTAGCTTCACTGAAGAGTCTTGCCAAACACAGGGCCATAGGAGACTGCCAGTGGTGGCCTTCCTGTCTGTGGTGGCTCTACTGTCATTCTGCACACTCAGCCAGTGCTTCCAGACCATCCCGGGGAGCTGCCTGCAGACTGTACTGGGAATGGAAAAAGGGAGGCTTTCAAAGCACAGGAAGGAGAACCAAACTCAGACCAGGTGCAGCCAGAGCCACCAGGATCACAAAAGGGGCCTCATGTGGGCAGTCTCAGCACAGAAGCCCCAGACCAGCCGATGGCCCAGAGAGTCAAGGCTTGGCAGTGCCACAAGTAAACAAAGGGAGATGGACAGCACCACCACGTGAGACAGGTGGCCTACAGCAGCCCCACTCTAAACGCTCTTGGGCCCGTCCCTGTCTTTAAGTCCCCAGGTAGTGGGAGAAGGGGATGCCCTGTAATGCCCAGCCCCGGGCCTGTAGTCAAGATCAAAGGACAGCGTAGTAGAGGAGCCATTTTACTGTTCCTTCTCCAACAACTCGCACCTACAGCTGGGCCCATGGCCCCGACTGTCCTCAGGGACCAAGCCTCAGTGGGGTAAAGCTGTTCTGAAGCCTTACCCACAGTTCACACACCACAGAGAATGAAATCTAACCAAGTAAAGCTAATGAGCCAAAATTAACAGTACAACATCCTGCCCAAGCTAGTTCTCTAGGCTCTGGGGCTACCATAGGGCAGGATGCAAGAATGAGTCAACCCAGGTAAAGGCATTCTCGATGAGAACAGATTTCTCACTGGTCTAAGTGGGCGCACACCTCTCCACTTGGAAAATCCAGTGGTACCTGGGCCTCCACCAGCCCGTAAGACTTTCACATAGGCAGGTTTGAGCTTGGAGGTGGGTGAGAATGTCCTGAGCCTGGAGAACCAGGTCTACCCACTGACCGTCCTGAGAGGGTCCCACCTGGCTTTGTGACTACTCAGGGCAGTGGAGATGAGATGCCAATTTGTCCCACGCAGTCAGAAAGGGGTACAAACAGAAACACGCTAGAATGGAGTCCCCAACCACCAGGCCTGTGGTCTGTTAGGAAGTGAGCTGCACAGCAGGTGGTGAGCAGCTAGCGAGCAAAACTTCATCTGTATTTGCAGCCATTCCCCAGCACTAGCGTCACTGCCTCAGCTCCACCTCAGATCATCAGGCGTTAGATTCTTATAGGAGCACGGGTCCCTGGTGCTAAAAAGGCTGGGGACCGCTGTGCTAGAAGACGCACTCCCACAGGAATTCAGGGCCTAGTTTCAATTCGTGGGCACAGACAGAGCCGGGGGAAGGCAACAGACACACGGCACTGGAGCAACCTCAAGAAGAAGTTGGGAGCAGCTTCTCCAGGGCCTTCTTTTGCTTCTCTGTGGCTGCAGCCACGGCCTCAGCCAGCTTCTCCTCGGGCATCATGTTGAGCACCTTGAGGGCGAAGAGGAGCTGGTACTTGGCTGTGCTGATGAAGGCATTGCTCAGGAAGTTGGGGAAGCCACCAACTCGGTCCTTCTGGGTATACAGTGGGACCCGCACAAGCCCCAGCACCTGCACAGAGAGGAGACCTGGGTTGGGGCCAGGCCCCCATACCAATGGCATAACTATGGTAAGGAGCCTGTGAGCTGCTAGGCCAGTGGAAGAAAAGCCAGGTGGCCAATGACATACAAGACCCTGGCAGCATCTGGTAAGACCAAAGCCGGCAAGCTCCCTTGGGGCAGTGCAGCCCCTCTCCTCCCCAAGCAAGTTGCAAGACCATCCCATGCACTTCCCACTTTCTGCATCAAGACTCAGCCCCCCATCCACTGGCAGTCCACATTTCATGCTCCCCTTCCAGCTGGTGAATCCCAAACACATCAAGTGTCACTCCGGCCCTTCCGGACCATAAAACCCACAAATCGCAAGTTCCTTCAAACCCCTCGCCATGAGATACCAACTTCCTTCCCTTCCAGCCCTACAAGTCCCGCTTTCTGCTCAATTTCCCAGCTCCTCGAGGAGGTCCCGCCCCATTCCAACCCCCAACCATTCCCACTCCCCACTCCCAGGATTGGCAATGGCAGGCAGCAAGGCAGATGGAACACAGCCCCGAGGGAACACCAGCCCCCCGCCCGCACCCCAGGTCCCTCTCCCCACCCCGCTGCTGGAGACAATGACACCCCACCCAACCCAGCCAGGGGACCCTCAGGGGGACGTGTTACCCATCGGTGCCTTCCGCGGGGCCAGAGCCAAACCCCGGGGTGGGGGGCAGGGCCCGGGCGGCGGCCCCACCTCCAGGCCATGGTCGCGCGAGTGCACCGCGCTAATCTCCACGGCGTGCAGCTGCTCCAGCGTCAGCTGCCGCGCGTACAGGTGCGCCACGACGCGGTGCGGGCCCTCGGTCAAATGCGAGCTCAGGTAGTCGGCCTCGGTGAGGCGCAGGCAGCCTAGGCCCAGGCCCAACACCCGGTTCAGTCCGTCCTCCAGCGACCAGAAGCGCCGGTCCACGAAGCCCCCGGGGAAGCCAAGAAGTCCGTCGAAGCGCATCTGCATCTGCAAGGAAGCGCCGGGTCACAGGCGCGAGTCCGAGTGGCGCCCCGGCCCCCGCCCGCCCATTAGCGTCCTCACCAGCACTGAGAAGCGCATGGGGATGCGGCCGAAGAGCTGCCCGGGGTTGGCGGCGTACAGCATGGCGTGGCACGAGTGGCTCCAGCCCGGCCCCAGGCGCATCGCCTCCACCCGGCTGATCTGCTTCAGCTCCGGCACCGCGGCCGACATCTTGGCACTGCCCCCCGGCGATCCGCGCGCCTCCAATTAAGTGCATGCGCGGGCCCGCCCCCACCGCGCCCGGCCAATGCGCGGACAACTGCGCCCCCGGGGCCCCACCCCTCCGCCAATAGCTGACGCGCATCGGGGCAGAGACCATGGCGGCGCTCCGACGCGTCGTTGAGAGGCACAAAGGGCGTGTGCATAGGCCACGCGCCCCAGCCTGTACCCAATAGCCGCGCACTCCGAGCTGCGGCCCCGCCCATGGCCCGCGAAAACCACAACGCCCAAGATGCAGCGCGCCAGCAGCGCTCGCATTCTGCGGCTTGGGGCCTCGGGCGCGCGGAGCCTGCGGGGTGGGAACAGAGTCGAAGTCGAGGCTCAGACTGCGCGTCCGGTGGAGGGCAGCGGGATTCTCAAGATCACGTCGTCCTCGGCGGGACCGAGTCGCGTGCCTTCCCCTAGAGCCTTCTTGGGCGCTCGGGCGCCCCCTGCTCGTCCCAGGAAGGCTCAGCTGAGCCCTGAGATCAGAGGGCACAACCCTCCCCTGCACGCACTCCAGCCCCACAGTCCTGGGCGCCTACCACCTGCTAAACACTCCAGTCCAAGGTCACTGCTGGTCTGCCTGACTCCATAAGAGCACGAAAGCAGAGCCTGGCGGAGATCCGACTGCTCCACAGTCCGAGCCCTAGATTGGGGGTGAAGGGCGATGAGCCCTGCGGCTCCCTACACCCAGTCTGTTAGGGGAGAAGTGACTTAAGTCCTAGGCTGGGAAGGAAGCTTCCTAGTCCAGCACCCCCCAAGCACTGTCCAAGTCAGGTACTATATGCCAGGCACTGTGGGAGGAAATGAGGTCTCCCCAATTTCCATAACAAGATCCTGGGCTCAGAGGAGCAGGACTAAGGACGTTCCATAGTTGGTGAGGGAGCCAGGATCTTACTCTAGATTCCCACCCTGTGTCCTCAACAGAAAACCTCCTGCCTTCCACCTAAAGTACTTACCCCACGTTTGTGCACGAGAAGGAAGTCGCTGGGGCTCCCCTAAGTCTTGGTGCCACTTCGCCAGCTGACCCAAGCTCCATTTTCCTCCCCATGGTGGGCATGAATTTGCTGAGTGAAGGAAGTCAGGATGGGTGCCCCAGGCACAGCTTTGGGCAAGCCATGACATGAGGGCGAGTTCTGTGGCACGGAGAAGGCTGCCCTGAGCAGTGCTTAACAGGAGAGGAGAGTAGCGGGTAAGGGGCAGTGAAGAAACTCACTCACACGTTTGGTCAATGGTGTGTTCTGCCAGGAGACATGGGGACTAAGGACCCAAAGACAGAGGCTCTCTCCCCCACTGAGGCCTTCTGCCAAGGTTAAAGCTCAAAGGGGCAGCTTGCAGCTGGTCAAATCCCAGGGCAGGTGACTGTGTCTGAAGGAGAGAGGTCAGCGAGGGGAAGGGCCCATCCAGAGATGGCCCCTTCTCTAGGCTGCAGGGCACGACCCAAGCCTAGGGCCAGTGGAGGGCAGGGGTCATGGAGGAACGACACCCTGCACCCCAACCCCTCCCTGACACCAAACATTAATAAAGGATGTGGGCCCATTTGAGGAATGTGAAGAGGGAGAGTCAGTGTAACCCATACAAGAACTCATCTGACACTGAGCACCTTTCTACCCACACTGGAACCATGCCAGACCCAGGCATAATCAAGGGTAGCAGGCCTTCCTTGGGGCAGGGACTGACCAGCCAAGAACACTGGCTCCACTCTTGAGTACCTGAGTCAAAGAAAGGGCCCCTGGAGGCAACTTGGAACTGTGTGGGTATTCAGGGCACCAGCTTTTCCCTACTGCCCCTCCAATGCATTCTCCACATGACAGCTGAAGTGAGTCATTCAGCTGATTTAAAACCTCTCTGTTCTTAAAATAAAATTCTGACTGCTTCTACAAGGTCTTGCAATGTCTGCACCATATTCTTCAATTCCTATGCTCCAGCCACTTGCACTTTTTTCCACTCAGTGGATACATTAGGCTCACTCTTGCCTCCCAGCCTTTGCATTTGCTGTGCCAGCTGCCTGGGGCCCTCTTCCAGGGCCAGCTCCTTTACATTCTTCAGGGCGCAGCTGAAATGTCTCCTCAGAGGAGCACTGTGACTCCATCTTGTCACTGGCTCTTTCTAACAGTAACTAAACTGGGGAAGATGTGGATTTACCTGTGCAGTCTGACTAGAATGCAAGCTTCCCAGAGGCCTGGACCTAGCCTGTCATGCTTCTGCTGGCACACAGTAGGTGGTCAGGAAACATCTGTGAGGCAAATCAGTGATGCAGAGGAAACTGCAGCTGCATCTCGCACACCTGGAGGCCCTGGGCTCCTCCTCCATCTACTCAGAAGGCTGAGCCGAGTGCCCAGGGATCCTTCACTCCAACCCAAAAATCAGCACGATGGCCACAACAGTAACCAGCAGCATCACACATGGCTCCTCATGTAGACCTCACTCCCTCCTGGAGTTAGACTTTAATATCTTACACACAAGGAAACAGGCTGCAGTCACTAGCTGGAGCTCACACTGCTGTCAGGGTGTCAGAATCAATAGCCACTCAGCTGTCCTGCCTCCTGACCAAGAAACGGTCAAGGTCCCTCAGTGCTGTGCAAAGAGAAAGGAGTGGACGGATATTGCTGCATGATTTTATTACTATAAATATACAGTAAAAACGAACAAAAACTAGCCAATCAGAATACATCAAATGATAGCACGTATAAGTCCAAGACAGGGCAGTCTGCATCCCGTCCTTCAGAGTACTGGCACCAATACCGAGGGCAAGAGGCCAGGGTGTTGGCAGGAGACAGGGGCGAAGGGAAGGAGATGGCCAGCTTATGTATGTGTGCATGTGTATGTGTATGTGTGCACCCGTGAGCATACGGTGGGCGGGAGGGAGGTGAGGCAGAGAGCCAAGCAGCTGAGGCAGGTGCCCTGAGCATGACCAAGAGCTGTGCCTAAGGAAGCACTCTGCTCACAGGCCCAACTGGAGAAAGGAGACCCACTGGACAAACCCCCCCACAGTGCAGATGCTCTATGGATGGCTGCCGGCCGCCCCAGAATGACTTTTTCCCAAGGCAGCTCCTCATAAAGCTGGCTCCCCAACCTCAGACCCAAAAACATCAGCCCCCATGGGGAGCTACAAAGATCCACCCACCCACCAAGCCAAGGTCCCTGCTGGGGCAGCTCGTGCCCAGCTGCACCAGGGCGGGGCACTCCCTCTGCCGTTTTGTTGTCCAGGAAGGGCTGAGCACCCCCTCTGCCGTTTTGTTGTTCATAAAAAAGATGAGATCACCTCAGATGGGAGCCTCATCCCCCAGGCAGGTCTCTACAGGAGCCCCAGACAGAACAAATCAAAGAGAAACACAAAGTGATGTTTAAATGGCAAAGAGGGAGCAGAGAAGTTGCTCAGGTTCCTCCCTGGTCTGGTGAAAGGCAGCTTTTCGGGCTGAGCGGAAGCCTCTGCACCTGGAGGGAGACTGAGAATGTGGGCGAAGCCACCTCTGAGAAGGTGTAGGGCTTGGAGAGGGGCCACTAGACCAACTGTTGCCAACAGGCTGTGCACCTGCACCTCTGTCCCTGGGCAGACCCAGACCCAGACCCAGACCCTGGCTTCACATGTGGATGCCTGGGCTGCCCAGGACAGAGCCGTGGGGAAAGGCTGTGAGCTGTGGGAATCCACCCTGCACCAGAGAGCCTGAGCAGGAAAGAAGAAACAGCACAAAGCAGCAGCGCCGGCCAGGATACGCACATGGGGCTACGGGACAGGCACTGTTTCCTTCATTGACCGTCACTCAGACCCCACTTCCTTTCCTCCCGACAAATCCCCCAATAATACCACCTGTGAAGGCAGCACTTCACCCACCAATAAATCTCCTACCAGTTCACTGAGTTTTCAGGGTGTCAGCTCCCTATCAGCTGAGGGGCTGGGCAAAGCCAATCCAGGAACACATGGGTGGCCAGCCCCCAGCCTCGGCTGTTCAGCCAAAAGGGCATTTGGGGAAACGCCAGAGCTCAGTGCCCACAGCTGAAAGGGGCTGTCCTTCATCTTGTATCATTTACAAATACAGTGATCATAGAAAAGGGGGTTCATCAGAGGGGACAGTCCAATGTGCTCTTTAATCAAGGGCTGCACTGCCCCTTGGAGTCGTGGCTACGAAGGGCACGCAGACAGGAGGCCAGGGGTCACACTGGAGTCCGGGTGGCCCATCGGCAAAGTCTGGGGAGCTCAGGGCTCCATGCTGCCAGCCTGGCCAGGATCTCAGAGTGGGGTCAACATCGTGGCCTCAGGGTTAAGACTGGGCCACCAAATGGAGGCCAGGTGGGACCAGTGGTGAGGAGGCTTCAGGGCGTCTTCATGGAGGTGGACCATCCTGCAGGTAGGAGCAGAGAGAGGAGGGTCAGGCTCGGCCAAGTCTCACCTGCTCCCTTCACTGGCCAAGCTTTGGGTTCACGTCAACCATGAGACCCAGAAAACAGGGCCACCCAGCACTCCCACTGTATATGTCTGTGGCAGACCACACAGAGGGCCTGGGGACTCCAGCCTAGGCAACTGACCCAGGCCTGTCCCTATAGTAACAGATCACCCCAGGGTGCCAGCAACAGAACCATAGCCCTGAAACAGAAAGGGGCGCCTTCGGCTGCTGACCCCAGGCCTCCTGCCCTTGCGCAGTCCATGCTCCTGGAATGTGACCAGCCACTGTCCGCAGAGCTTCCCAACTGGATTAGGCTGAGACTTGGTCAGCTCTGGGCAGAGGTGAGTGGACTCAGCCCTGGGCACATAGCCAGTGCTCAGAGTAGCCCCAGTCCAGTGTGCCCTCCTCAGAGGCCTGCTCTGCTCTTTCCATACATAGTCACCTCCCCAATGCCGTGAGGTGCTCTGTCCCAGATCTGCCCCCTGGGCACTGGTGTGGGGAGCCCTGGCCTGGGGCTGCAGCAGCAGAGAGACCAGCATGCTTCTCAGGGCTGCAGAATGCACAGCTGCCCACCACCCACCCATATGCGGACTCCACGGGGCGTCTTCAACTAGCAAAGCAAGCAGTGTTTCTGCCACTGGGCGCCTGTGACACAGACCCTTGGGTGAGGGGATTATATTCTTAGGAGCTATAACTATGTGCAGGAAGTCAGCTCCGCTACACAGCCCACAGGTGAAATACGTTCTCTGTAGCTCTGTCTGACTTGTTTTTCCTACTTCTGGAAGTTTTACCTAAATCACAACACTGAACATCTTTCACTGTGGAGGCCGAGGTCAACTTTATAAAAGTGTAGGGCCCTATCTAAATAGAGGGTAAGATTTGTCAGAAGAAACGTGTGAGGGACACAAGAGAAATTTGTGTGGGAACATAAGAACAGTCGTCAAGTCTATGGCCATGCCGCCCTGAATATGCCCGATCTCGTCTGACCTCGGAAGCCAAGCAGGGTCAGGCCTGATTAGTACTTGGATGGGAGACCACCCAGGAATACCAGGTGCTGTAGGCGTTTAAAAAAAAAAAAAAAGAGCAGTCATCAAAACAAGTGGACAGACACCGCAGCCTAGCTTAGGACAGCCCGGACACCAGGCTGGGGCATGTCTCCTAGCTGGGGCTGCTGGGGCCTTACCACCAGGATGGGCCAGGGGTCCAGCTGGTCCTCCCACACGTCTGGGAAACCCAGGGCCACCGAAGGCACCAGGTTCTCTATCACCAGACTTCGCAGAGGCTAATATCATTGTGAAGGAAAAGAAAGGGGTCCCCAAAGCATGTGGCCTATTTTTTCGTGGTACTCTTAGAAGTGTCTTCTGTAAAATGTCCGTTTGCGTCACCCAGGTAGAGAGCACCTCCTGTCAGGTGAGGGAGTCAATCTTACATGGCCTCCTGACATCAGAGTGTGCTGATGTTCCAGAAGGTTCCAGGGGTGGGTGGGGACAGGTTAGTAGCAGCAATGGGGGGAGGGGGGAGGCGTGTCTCAGAAATGGTGGAGTGCTGTTTCCTGGACCCAAAAGGCCGGAAGAGCCTGACTGGGCCACCTGGTCCCAATGAAAGAACCTCTGGCCTGGAAGCCAGCATGAGAACCCCGGGACCACCTCTTCGTGGCAAAGGTGCAGCAGTGTAGGGAGGGCTCTGGATTCAGAATCCAGGTCCCAGGGAAAGACACGGATGTGGAAGAAGCCCAGAAAATGGGCAGGAACCACTACAGAGGGAGCAGGAGTGGGAGAAGCAGCTGGGGGTGTCCTCTCTCCAGCCCCCTGCCAAGGACGCCCCTCAGAGCCACCCGCCACGCGCGGGAAGGTGATCACCTACCAGCTTACTCCTCTATACCAACAGAGCAGGAGTCGGGCCCCCGGGCTGTGCAGAGGAGGAGAGAGATGGAAGCTTGGTTAGCAAAGGCTCGGACAGACCAGCACATTCCACAGCAGATGCACTGGCTTTAGGACGAGCTGCCCTGAGGGCTAGGGGGTTGGAAATGAAACGCCCACACAAACCAATGTGCTGGAACAAAGGAGGGACAGGCGGAAAAAATGTTTCCTGAGAACAGAGTGCTGGGCCAAATTCTACTGCAGGGGAACTCGGCCTACGGGTGAGCACAGCGGGGCTGGGGGCCACCAGGGCTGAACCCTGGGGGAAGGCAGAGCCCAGGACAGATCTCCCCGATAGGGCTGCCGGGAGGCCAGGCATCCAGGTTTTCACCATTTATGGACTTTCCCCCACTGTCCTTTTTCTCCATCACTGGGGGACATTCAGGTTCACTAAATCATGCTCCATCCATTCGGGGGACGGCTATGCAGTTGTTATAAAGAATGAGGACACCTGTGTGTGCGTGTTCATGCTCTTAAATACAGATGTAAAAAAGGTTCAGGGTCTCCACTGAAAAAAGCCAGAAGCAAAACAGAGGGTGCCAGCACATGGCCAGACGACACACACACGCACTCACAAACATGCGCACGCCCGTGAGGACCCCTGCCTGTCCCCTGGCTGCAACTGGAGGTGCTCATGGGGCAGCAGACGTGGGATGCTACCAGTGTCCACCTCCTCTCCGTGCTCTGAGAGGCTCTGAGAAGCCACCCTGCCCTGCAGAACGGGCAGGGTGCAGAGGCAGGGTGGGCCTGGGCTCAGGAGCTGGACGTCACCCACCTTGCTTACCCGGTCAGGCCCTGGATGCAGACTCCAGCCGCTCTACCTCCCACTTCACATGTGGAGCCAGAAACCTGAGATACTCGCCTAGGGGTGGGGGCTCGACGGCCACAGGTCCTGGTCCCACTTGTGGGCCGAGCTCAATGGCTGTGGCTTGTCCTGCCCCTGCAGACCCCTGAGCACTCTGTGGGCCACTCAAGGGCGAAGGGTGGCAGAGACTGCATGGGGACAACGTGCCCCTCACAGCTCCAAGGGCCTAAAGCCGGCCACCCTGTGGGATCAGGACTCACACTTATGGCTCTTGGAAGACAACTCTCTCTCTTGGTCCCCATCCCCCAAGTTTGAATCATAATACTTAAAGTCCTCTGAAAAAACTTACTAGAATTCTGTATTACTCTAAGGTGTGCTTGTCCTAAATGTGGCTTTTGCCTGTGGGTGTCCCTACAGGCTACCCTGCTTCCTCACACTAGGGGACCCTCTGTCTACAGAGGCTGCTGCTACAGAGGCTGGGGCGGGGGACAAGAAGCCCTTCCAACCAAAGTATGTCATAGGCCCCCGGTGCCCAAGCTAGGTCACTGGGGACCAGGCGACAGTGGCTCCAGGGGCAGGCAGAGGGTGAAGGGGTTCCCCAGGCATGTGGCAGCAGCCAGGCTCTGTGAGGGCAATGTGACTATTTATCATGATTCCAGAACCTCGGATGACCTCCTGGTAGGCGCTGGCACGAGGGCCTGAGAGCCCCCTACTCCCATCCCCAGTCTTTAGAGCCCAGGACTTGAAGCTGAGGATCTTGGCCCAGAGGAGCAGAGAGCAGAGGAGCTGTGGCCATAGGTCCTCGGCAGAGGCCTCGGAAAAGGGGAGGAAGAGAAGTGAGACTCCCCGCACTGCCTTAGGCCTTGCTGGCACCCGGCGCCCAGCCTGTCCTCCCACACCCTGGCCTGGGACGCACTGCTTCACCCAGGACCTCGGGCAGGTGGCAGAGAGCTGGTGACCCATGTCAGGCTTGGGGCAGGCAGGTAGTTTTGTTTGTAGCTCCCCTGAGCAGAGGTCCAAGCCTGCCAGGGGCATGGATGAAGGAAGACACAGCAATGGCAGTGGGACCAGACCTGCCTGGCCCCGAGCAGGAGACAGACGGGGAGAACCATGTCCTTAAACACACAGCCTTTCCTGCCTTACTGAGGATGGGCTGGCTCTGGGGTGCAAAGGGGCCTCAGGCACAGGCTTTGCACCAAACAGCTAAGGGCTGCAAGAGGAGTTGGCTGTGGAACCTGAGCTTGGCCATACTTTGGGGATCAATAGGAGAAGCGTGGACTCCGAGCCAGTGAGACAAGAGCAGGCTCCTCACAGGTCAGTTTTTCTCCCTGAGCAGTCAGAGCAAGCCCCCAGATTCATGGGGACAGCTGCGGAACTGTCCCAGCCCAGCAGGCCCCTAGCTTCATGAGGACAGTCACAGGACCACCCCCGGGCCTGGCAGGCCCCCAGACCCCACAGGCTGAGTGCTGTTACCTGGTAGGTAGATGTCGGCAGGCTGGCTGCGGCCACAGGACTCGGGGCGGCCATCTTGCAGGACGTTCTCAATGGAGGGCACTCGGCTCCCTGCAGGAGAGGGGGCAGGTCAGGGCCTCACAAGAGGCAGGGGTGGATCTGGATGTCCCTCTTGCAGAGAGCCCCGAGAGCCCATCTTTTGTCCCTGAGGGCACGACAGCCACTGTAGGCCTGGGCTCCGGCCCAGACCCCACCCCGACTCCCCTCTGCTCTCCCAGGACTAGAGATAGACATTCCTATCCTTCCTCTCTTTCCTTCTACCACCCCCACCTCCCACATGGGGCTTTTATTTTTATCATAAAAACATTATATGTCCACATTTAAAAAACAAGATAAAATGGTAATAGATATAACTGTCTCCTGTTTATCTTTCTGGGTGAGCAGGTGAGGTGACAGTCCTTGGCCCACGTGTGCCTGCAATGGGTCCTGCACAGATACTGCAGTGGGGGACCCTCTGCATGTGGCTTGCTCACTCACACATCAGCTCTCAGCCATGGACCTAAACTATTCTCAGTGCTGCCAAGGGTGTCCTCATGGGGGAGGTCCCCTCAGCCAAAAGGGGCCTGGACCCTGTGACAGGGCATGGCTGGGGGCCATCCGGTCCCAGCATGCACTGTGCACAGGCAGGAAGAGGCCAACACTGAGAGAGGTGGGGGAGCCAAGGCCCGACAGGCCGAGGGGCTTGCCCTGTGCCATGTTGGGCAGGAAGGCACGGCACCATGCCTCCAGGGACAGACACCCTTAACCCAAGCACCCTGCCCTCGGTGCCCATACTCACACCCAAGCCCAAGGGCCCCAGTCCAGCGCCTACAGACAGGCCCCACCCACATGTGGTAGGGGGGCTGCTCCTGGGTGGAACGTGGGTCCCCACAGTACAATGCTGGCCAGGGGACCCCTGGCAAGGAGGGGTCACAGCAAAGGAGCAGCTGCAGGTTATTTGGGGGGCCTTTACCACACTGCTGGCTTGGGAGCCAGCCAGGGCCACCTCCTGGCTCTGTCACCTCTAAATTAAGTGGCCTTGGCCTCCCCGACACCAACCTTGTGCCTCAGTTTCCTCACCTGTTCAATATGGGGAAGGAATAACCGGGACAGCAAAGGCATGGCATCTCCCCAAGCCGGCAGAGGGGCTGGCACCGCCCTGCGCCCACTCCCTGGCCATAGGCTGTGGCAGGCCCAAGACCCACACAGAGACCCTAGGTCTCTCCAGGCACTGTCAGGATGACGACCCCAAGGAATGGGCACAGCCCAAGGCCAGACTGGGCAGCTGTAAAGGAGGATGTGCGACCAAGTACAGAACGATCCAGGCGGGAAATAAACAGCTACTATGCAACACTACAGGGCAGGAGGGAAAACCAGGAGTGGCTTCGGGCTGTCTTCTGGGACATCGTGTAGTAAGTGGTGTGTGTGGTCCCCTGGAGGACACTGGAAAATGCTCTGAGAAACCTCCAGGAGAGCTGAACTGGAAGCCTCTGCCCAGCTCAGGCAGGGAGTACCAGAACCTTGCCCCTCGGGAGACAGAGGGCTTACCTTGCTTAAGTGACGAAGTCTCGTCAATCTCCTCTGTGAGGAAACTCTAGGAAACAAGGAAAAACGAGCCTGGAACTCTGGTGCTGACCCAGGACCGCTGCTGACTGTAGGAGACCCAACTGCAGGCAGCCGGGGAGGGCATGGGGCGAACCTCAGCTGCCCATCCAGGACATGCCAGCGTCTATTATGTACTTCACATACAGCCCCTTCGCCCATGCCCACCCCACAGATGTGGACACTGAGGCTGGGAGGGAGTCACAGCCCAGCCAAGGCTACTGAGTGAGGGACTGGCAGAGTGGGCCTGGGGCATGCCACACCATAGGTCTGGGAGGCCAACAGGTGAGCAGTGGGGACTCAGATCTCAGGTAGGCAGGACTTAGGAGGGCAAGCCGGGGCTGGACCTCACCTCTGGGGAGCTGCTCAGCACCAGCCCGGCCCCGCTTGGCAGGGGAGGGGCATCCGAGACCTGGGAGAGCTTCTCCTCATCCTCTTCATGGATGGGGGATGATGGGGACCGCAGAGTGCTGGGGGCAGAGAAGATGGGGGTGGAAGACAAGTGGATAAGAAACACTAACCCCGCCAAAGCTAATACCATGGAGGGGTGAGCTTGCAGACATGTGCCAGGGTCCTCGGAACAGATGAACCTGGGGAGGGGTGCACACCAGCAGAGTGCCAGGAGGACACCAGCCAGCGGGACACGAAGGCTGTCTACCTGTGTGCTGGCACAGACCTAAATACGGCCTTTTACTTCCAGAAGAAGAGAACTGTGATGGTACATCCTTGGGGTGGGAGGGCTAGGTGTGCGAGCAGCAAGAGAGACCTCCATGTTTCTTTCTCTTTGAAGTGACTCTGCCTGAAGCTGCAGCTGGTTTTACAGAACCTGTGCCTTCTTTATACATTTCTAGTAAAAAAAACCCAGTACACATGTGAAGACTTAACACGGCAAGGCTGGTCATCTGAGCCTCAAAGGAATCACGATGGGAATCACGATGGACCACACTGGCTGGCCCTTGGGCATGTGGCCCTCAAAGTTTCCCTATGTCAGTGATGATGACACTCTAGTGGCCTGGAGCAAGAGCCCTGCCCTCCAGCTCGTCCGGCATAAACAAGGTGGAGGATGTGCAGCTGGTTTCATTGCAGCTGGGTTACTGTGGCCATCATTGGCCTCACAGCAGGATGTGACCAGATGACCAACCACCAGAACATCCTGGAATCCTGAAACCCAAACGGTTTCCCTGGGCCAATACACTGCACACACTCCTGCGGTGTGCTGCTCCTGTGTAGCCTGGGAGAGGGAAGACACCGGCACCCCCGGCCTCCACGGACACATTTTTCCCCTGCTGCCTTTGCTGTGAACAACCTTAGCCATGACCATGAGCCTAACCCACTACTGGTCCTGTGAATCTTTCTGGCAAATCACCAAATGAAACATGTTATAAAACTAATTAAAGTTACAAATAAAACTGCTTTGTATCCACTAGCATACGCCTCCCTCACCCTGGCCCACAGAGCAGTGGGGGTGGGTCCCCAGACACCCTTCCCCACAGGGAATCCTGGCGCCAGCCTCACCTGTCGGGGGACTTGCTCCGAGGCTTGGCCTTCTGGTGGCTGCTCTCCATGATGCGATCAAGCCCAGCAAGAGGACAGCTGGCCTGGGACAGGCCGTCTGAGACGCCGGAGTAGGTGATCTCTTCATAAAGGGGGGCCGAAGGGATGGCTGGGGAGACAGCTCGAAGGCCGTTGAGTGCCTCAAGCAGGGAGATGGGCTCATAGCCAGGGGGGATGCTGTCAGAGCTCTGCGGGGACAAGAGTAGGTGAGGGACAAGCTGGCCGGGCTCCTTGCCCACTGCCTACTGCCCTGTTCTACCCCCCAGAATCTGCTTCCTGACCATCTCCTGTCTGGACCATCTTCCAGGGACTTAAATCCCCCCTCCCTCGGGGGGCGCCAAGAACTCCAGAGCAGCAGCAGACGTCCTGCCCAGGGCTCCCTCGGCCATCAGCTGCAGCACACCCAGAGGCCCCACTTGATGCCCAGGATGAAGGCAGAGAGGGCATTCGGACGAGCCACCCCACCCCCAGCCTTGGCCAGTCCCTACCTGGCTTTCTGTTCCTGCCTGGCAAGGGATGGAGAGTGAGAAAGGGGTTAGTGAGAGAAAGGAGAACTCGGGAGCAGGTGGAGAGCAAAGCCATGCCAGAGGCGAGAGAAACCAGTGGGAACCACGTGTGTTCTAGACCAGGGAGGACCTGGTCCCCCAGGGAGCCCTGCCCGACACAGGGATCTGGCCCAGCTCGAGATCCTCCGTGGACCTTGGGCAGGCACCTGGGGCAGGCGGGCATCCAAGGGGTGATGTGTGCTCTGGGTGATTCTCACAGGCCCCCTGGTTCAGAACCACTGTTTCCCCTTTGCGGGGAGCAGATCACATCAACAGGCTGAGTCTCGCTTTAGGGTTAAAGGTGAAGGGAGAAGGCAGCTGGGGGATGTCAGTGCTGGGCCCCTATGGGGCGGGGCAGCCACCTCCTCTCATTCTTATTAGATAAAGTGAAAGGTAAATGCTCCAAAGTAGAACCTCCTCCCACTGGCCCGATCCACCGGAAGGTGGGGGCTGCCTTTCGGGCAGGCAGCAGAGCAACCCTAGGACCACAGGGAAGGCAGGAGAGTCAGGGTGGGCACCTCCTGCCCTCAGCAAGCATTTCCTGGGGCCCTGGGTCACCTGAACCAGTAGCGCCCTGCATTTGCTCCCAATGTGCCCTCAATTTAAAGGTAAATAGTTACTCTGAACCCCCTCATCCCTCCAAAAAGGAAAATACCTATCTCAAGGTTGACTCTCCAGTGACTTCCACCT